CCAGACAAATATCTTCTGATTCTGGGATATTTTTTTTGGAACATTGCTTTTGTTGATACGTTTTGAAATCACTTCCATTTCAACGAGAGAATTCTTTGGTCCCATTCAGCAGTAAGAACTGATTCATGCGCGAAAGAGTCCTTAATTCCTTACACAATAAACACACATGTAAGTAGCTGCCTGATTTTTGTGCTCTGGCCTTACCTTCCAACCCTCAACTGCCAATTTGCCCTACTGAAATTGAGGCAGGCTTCCATTTTTGGGTGGGGTTTTTTGGGTTTAGTTGCTGTTACTTCAAGTTTTATCCACTCTATCCCCTAAAACAAAAAAAGACCAGTTGAACACTTACTTGTCAGAATTCAGTTCCATGCCACCACCTCTCCCCCAAAACAAAACTGTGATTTTTTTAAATATGACCTTTTAATACTCTCTTTAGACTGCTGCTTTTCTGGATCATCATAGAATAATTTCTAGCCAGCAGGGTAAGTACCTTATAATATTTTTAAAACGGGCTTCATGCTGCATGTCAACTTTTAACCTTCTACCTTTTTTTTACCAGACTCTGAATTGTAAAGTTAAATACTGCAATGATTTCTTTTTCTCCTTACATGGACATAATTGCCCAAGAGTAGCTATTAGTGACTTAATTTAGGATCCTGCTCAAGGGTTACATCTCTATGGGTTTCTCTGAAGATTTGTTTCAATAAGCTTCCATTTAATATCCAAAATGACAGTTTGCCAATCAGACTGTACCATGACTTTTATCCAAAACAAAGGAATACTGAAGCCTTCCATTTCCAGAAGAACAGACATAATCTCCAAATTTAGCATTAGGTCAGCATGACAAGGTCCTGTGGATTGCTTCCCAAAGTCTACCAACACCCACACAGTGGACAAAGCACAACGCTGGGGAGGATAGAGCACATCCAAGTACAACTTTGGGGTGTAGTTACCCACAGGTGGGTCGGAGAAGCCCTGGTGCTTTGCCCTCAAAGAAAAGCCAATGAAGGCTCATCCCTGCCATGCCCAGGACCACTCTGTCAATCTGAGTTTACAAGCACTTCTTCCTCCCTACAAGTGAAAAGCACTTTAGCAGGATGTACTGAAACAGTTGTTTGAGTAGAAAAGATACATCCACAAATTTAAAGTTTGAAAGCCACATGCACTGAAAGGTCAAGAGCAATGACTGAAGTCAGTCAATTGTCATCCAACAAGAAAGGCAAACCCAAATCCAAAAGAACCACATACAGCACTTAGATATCAACAGCAGGTTAAAGAAAAAAGATTTTGACAGAACACAATAGAGGAACCTGCTATCTTCCACAAGGCAGTAAAACACTAAGTATCCTTCAAAGATGAAGAGGGTGCCTTAGAATACAGTGAATCAGGACGACAGGTACATTTTCTCTTCTTTATTAAGAAAAAAAAAAGCAGTAACAAAAGCCTCATCACAAGATATCTTTTGGGAACCAAATGCCAAAAGCTGACTTAGACATTTCAATTCCGTAGCTAACCATTAATTTATAGGAAACTTTACAAGTACAAATTACTTATGCAATTTAACTAAGCCATGAAAAAAGAAAATTTGAGCTTTTTATCTGCTTTAAAAGCAACCAGTGATCTTTGATGATATAATTCACACTTGGGAAAGGTATGTCAGATCAACACAGCTAGATTGTATAGACTGCATATCCAAACCCATTATTATGTTTATTATGTATATGTCTAATATGAACATATTACACTTGATAACCTTTCATATATTTCTCTAGATATACATACTTCCCACCAATTGCTAAATATATAGGTCAAAATAGGAAGGGGGACACATCCTAATCGTTATCCTACTTATTAAAAAATATTAGTTACTGATGATGCAATAATTTAACCATTTCTTCTTGGGTGAGCATCTCTTGCCCATTTCTGCTAACATATATTATCAGTGGTAAAGAATTTAATTTCTCACAGCAGCTGAAATGTAATTGATTCTGTTCTTTCTCCGCTCTTCCAGTAAAACAGAGGAAGAAAATAAAGCTTAAATAAAAGCAAGAGCAACAATACCAGTAACAGCAAGCTTTAAGTCTTGAATTCACACTTCCTCCCCAAAAGACTCAGCATATGGAAAGCATAAAGCTGAAATATGGATCAATACACAGATACACCAGATAATATTACTACATTTTTCTCCGTGGCTTTTCTCAAGAACCTGAGACATTATAAGTGACGTATTCATTGTACAACAAGCAAGAGTATGGGGAACGTTTCTTGGTATGTGAGAGGCAATGCATCTGCTTGTGAACAGGGACGTGACGCAGTTGTCACATTTCAAGGCGGTTTCAACAAATGTACTTATGTTGCACAGATGCTCCCACTCAGGACTGCATAACCTGCAATCTTGCACCTCTGGGGTCACTGTCTAAAATAAATATTTTCAACTGCACTGCACCTAATGGAGGAGGGGAGAACCAAACCACCCTGTCCTTCGCATCAATTACACAGATGGCTTGGCACAACTGGCCAGGCTTTCTCCAGAAGCCAGTGATTCAGCAGGATAGGTATGGATAGGACAGGTCAACAGAAGGTATAGGAAAATGCTGTATTAACTGGTTGTAATTATGTCAGATGAAGCCATCAAAGCCTGATTACCTTTACAACAGTTCTGCATCCTAAACACCCAGGTTCAAAGAAATACTGCAACCTCAGGCAGTAATTGTGTTAGAATGAAGCAAGTCCTAACTATAATTTTAAACAACCAGATGCATAGGTCACGTTTAACAAGCTGAATTATTAAGTGATTAGAAATCATCAGGCTTTTCACTGCATTATAAAGTATCTAATCACTTATTATTAATTCTTTTCCATTGTTTGAAGAACTTAATTTCTTAACACAAATTGCACTAAAGGTACAAAAATTCAGTGATTCTAAACACCACATATTAAAGCAGCACTAATGAGTACAAGTTTCCAATAGACTAGTTTTAATATTTTCTACTTCTACCCTTGCAATTTGTTCAAAAAAATCAACAGGTTAAGCAATCCAAAATGAGTTACAACTTAGTGCGAGCAAAGCTTTCCAACTTACTGGAAAACATGCCGATTTCCAAAACATACTATGGGATTCCAAGGCTTTAATTAAGACCTGCTGAAGAAAAATACATCCTTGTCGTTTCTCAAGGCCCCGTTATATAAAAAGTTAAATGACCAGATCACCACCCCTTCAAATTCACCAAGACCCTGCATTCCTAGGAACGTCAATCCTAAAAGCAGAGTGCTTGCACACAGTAGTGAATTCCAGCAGACTAGGCCTGCCATCACAACCGTCCACACTGCCACCATCAAACAGTTCAACATGAAAACTGCTGAGATCAAAATAAAATGATCTCTAATTTGAGCAAACACAACCTAGGAATTCTTTGAAGCTCTACCTATGCTATGCTCTTAACTGACAATTTAGATTTAACAAATATATTTTAGGATGCTTTGGTTGCAAAGGATTGTTCTCCCCACACTACTAATGATACATTTGATGGGATTCAGAGGAAAGAACTTCATATTTTACAGCATTTTTGTGGCTAATTTAAAACGTTTTACTTTTTCTTCTGAGAAGTATAACGTTTGACTTTTAAAGGCCCCCCGCGAGATTACCAAGGAAGGCCACAAAGAAATAGATCAAGGTGAATTTTCTCCATCAGAACTAGAACCTGAGAACAGCAGCCAATAGAAAGGGCGGCAGCACCTTCCCACTCGCTCTTTCCCGGCGCTGTCAGCTCCTGCAATCACCGGGCTCTGCCCCCCGCAGGCGGCGGAAAAGCCCCGCGGAGCCGGAGCCCGGCGGTGCCCCCGGCCGGCCCCGCACTCGCTCCGGGCAGCGCATCCGGGCGGGACGCGCCAGGCCCGCAGGCCTCGGGCACCGCTCCCGCCGCGGTCCCGCCGCGGCCCCGCCGGGCCCGCCCGCGCCCCGCTCGTCCCCCGCCTGCAGCAGAGCTCACCCCGGTGCTCCCCCGCCCGTGCGGGCATCCCACGCCCCCGCACGGCGCCGGGCAGCGCTCCCGTCCCCACCCGCGGGCAGGGCAGCCCGGCCCGCACACCGAGGGCAACGCTCCCCACGGCGGGGCCGCCTCTCCCTCTCCGGGCACTCGTGAGGGGGTCGCGGCCCGTCCCCGCGGGGCAGGGGGACGCTCACCCTTGACGGCGCGCTCGCTGGTGGCGTGGGGCGTCAGCAGCAGCACCTTGCTCCCCTCCTTGGCGGACATCGCTGGGCGCTGCCGGGCTCCGGCGGCGGTGCTGGGCGCGGCGGCGCCTTCGTCCGCCCGTCCGCCGGCGGCTGGCGGGGCGCGGCGGGGCGGGCGGGGGCGGCTACA